AAAAAAAAAAGGAAAGGCTGTTTTATATGGAGTAAAACACACAAACAGTAGAGAAACAAAAGCCTGTGTTGCTGGAAGAAATGGGTGAGTTTATGATGCAACTGCGTTGCTTTACAAAAACCAATACAAGCAAAGCGTGAAACTGATTTGTGGATGTAACGTTGCATTAAATCGAGAACTTTGTGAATGGTTCTCAGAAAGTTTTAATTTCCACCCTTTCCAATTTGTTATGTTCTGTACAGTATATAAAATTTAAGTATAAAATAAAGCAGTCTGCATTGTTCACTTACACATGCACTGGTTACTTCATTAGGCACCAGTGCTTTACAGCCACCTGGCACCAGCTCAGTGCATTTAAGCACGTAGACATGATCAAAACGACCTGCTGAACTTGAAACTGAGCAGCAGAATGGGGAAGAAAGGTGGCTTAAGTGTCTTGAATGTGGCAGGGCTGGTGCTGCCGGAGGCGCTGATCTGAGAAAGTAGATCAGCAGTTCACAAACTGCTGATCTACTGGGATTTTCCCACACAGCCATCTCTAGGATCTACAGAGAATGGACTGAAAAAGAGAAAATATGCAGAGAGCAGCAGTTCTCTGGGTGAAAATGACTTAGTGATGCCAGAAGTCAGGGGAAATGGCTTGAACCTGATATGAAGGCAACACTAACTCAAAATACCACTTGTTACAACCGAGGTATGCAGGAGACCATCTCTGGACAAACAACTTGTTGAAACTTGAAGCAGATGGGCTATGGCAGCAGAAAAACAACATGCATGGATTCATCTTCCCTTGTATCAGCGGTTCAGGCTGCAGCTAGTGCAACGATGTGGCACCAGCTGGTATTACCAAGGCGCACTTACTGAAGAAGCCATTGAGGTCATGTGCGCATCTTTATACATATCTTGACATATGCACATCTTACACCTTTAAAAGATGGAAATCAGATTTTTGCAAGGACAACTCAGGTTGAGCAGTTTGGAGACAAACTTTGGGAGTCACGGCTGAGATGGTTTGGACTCTCTCACTGCTCTGACACTATAAATTATAAAAACTGATGGGGGAGACGGAAAACAGATCCATGATCAGGTTTTTTTTTCTTGTGAAAAAGACAGTAAAGTATTTTTATGAACAGTATGCTCAGGATTTTGGCACATTTATGCAGAGCTTGTCATATTTTGTTTAATACTGCTGGTTAGCTTTTTGATAAACATACTCTTTTTCCAGAATCGGGAATGTTGAGGTTTTATTGCATCCCTCACTGACAGAATCATGAGTGTTGATATTAAAAATTTCCCCACTTTTACTGAGCAAGTGCTACGCAGCTATTCCATCCAAGACGTTTGTAAGCTGAAAGCTGCTTTTTTAACAGTAACATAAAGAAATGGTTAAAAAAATGTAAGTGATAAAGTGTAGTTTACATGTAACCAAAACATTATCTAAACCCCCATGTAGTGCATTTCTCCATTGCTGCACCAGGCCAAGAAATAAACCACAGTAAAGTATTTCTTAATTTCAGTCTCACAGTTTAAGCAAGCAAGATGCAACTTGTTAACTGGAAAGGTTTATGAGGACTGGTGGGAGTTAGTTTCCACTGTTTCCAAGGCAAAACAGCCACCAGCAACTACCAGCAGCTGGGTATGAGGTATGCAAGTACATTTAAAACTCTGACCTGAATATAAAGGCAGTAAAAAGTAATAGATATGATAAACAATGTTTAATGCATATGAACCGTACCAGAATGAGAGAGACGAAAGAGGTCTAAGACAAACTGTGAGTAAAAGTATGAATAATTGATGAAGAGGTGGTTCATTCATAAATTCATAAATCCCTGGAATGGGATGCGTTAAAGAGGAGGCGACAGGAACCACAAGCCCATAAAAGAATCTACATGTTCCTTGGTTTCAGTCTTGTGCGACAGATATAGATGCATGGTTGTGTTTGAGCTCTTTTTATCTTTGCCTCTCCCTCCCACACACAGAGACTGTGACTGCTTTATGCATAGTGAGTCTCACCAATAGCAGAAGCAATCTTAATTGGTGCACATCCCTTGTGGTGCCTCAGTTTCCAGCCCTCCCAAGCGTAAATGACCGGGTTCATTGTAAATACTGTATTCTGATAATGGGTGCCAGTAAAAAAAAAAAAAAAAAAAAGGCATGCTGCACCGATCACTTACTCTTCATCTCTACATCATTCAGAGGCTTTTCCTTGTGGTAAAGCTGTAGGCTGCACTCTCCGTTTTCTTTGCTTCTTCTTATTTCTTCCTTATTGTCACTCTCTATCCTTTCCTCTTTTTTTTAAAGAGTTGCCCTAGTTTAATGTCAGGCACATTTGATTTTCCAGTATTCCTGCAGACTTGTCATTTCTGACACAGGGCTGACAGTAAGCCTGTGAGTGCTTTACACACAAAGCTAACAGTATGAAATGAAGCATGATACCAGGTGGCCAGAACGGTGAATGAACCAACAAGCGTTCATGTGGAGCAGCACTTGCACTTCCCCGGCCTTCACAAGTCAAGCGATGCTTTGTAATCCCTCACTCAATTACCTCAGTGTATTGAAAGAGCAGTTGAAAGACTGGCGCAGCCACTGCATCTGCTCTTTTCACTGCTCTGCTCTTTCCTTTCAACTCAACTTGCCATGGCTTAAGCTCAAATGGCTATTTGGCGTCTTCTCTTTTTAATTAAGATGGCAATTCACTGTGCAAGGGTGTGCATTAAAAATTACCTTATTTGTTTCTGGTTTTATTTTATTTTTAATCATTTGCCCAGCTATTTAGCTCTTGAAATACTCAAACTGCTACACTTGTATTTTGATGCAACCCCCCCCCCCCAAATAAGACAGAACGAACTCCCATGCGACTGCTGTATTTACATCACGTTGGTTTATGCTGTAACACTGATAAGAGGAACAGGGCATCTGTAAAAGTTCACAACACAAGTTGAGATTCATCTGCTGGGGACTTCAGCCATTTGTATCTGCTTCTGTCTCTAAAGCAGATACAAATGGCTTCCTGTTGTCAATACGGTGTATACAAACTACTAGCCTCCTCTTTGTTCCACAATATACTTCTTTACACTCAGTTAAGTTTTTATTGACATGCCGATAACGCACGAGTTACCTTCAGGACATTTCTAGTGATCTTCCCAAAAGAGTTTGGAATGATAAGAAGAACCGGACTGGTGGAGTGACTCGAAGTCCTGCGACGTTTCTGGTAGGATGGCACAGCCCAGTCCAAGGCCACCACTCCGTCATCACTTAGCTGCAGGTTATCTCGCACAAACTGGACCGGGCTTTCGTACGGCCAGCACGCCTCGTAAACACTCTGGAGAAAGGCGCTGGCCCGCCATGTCCAGCCGACACACGGTGAGTAGTTACTGAAAGTCCAGCAGTGCTTCAGCAGGTAGTTTGCCAGCGCGGAAGGTTTACATATTAGCGCCACGGTGCGTTGCTTCTCACCGGTCAAAGCGCCCACGCAGGCCGACTGGGCATCGTCGCTCCCCTCTCGCTCCGAGACGCACTTCTCCGTCTTGCCTTTCGCCACCTGCTGTAAAATTCCAAATCTCTGAAGCAAAGCATCGCGCTGGCTCTCGGTACAGAAATATTTGGAGCCTGGCCAGATTGAGACCACCAGGATCACAAAGCACAGAGCCAAAAGCCATTCCAGCATTGGCACGGTTCGGGATGAGCAAAATGCGACAACGCGAACACTTTCCACTTTATATTCTACATTTGCATATTGCAAATTAGTTAACAGAAAGATTAGCCGTCTTGCACCTTGCTGCTTTTGTCTGTTGGTTCTCAACTCCTCAGTTAAAGCTTAGTGCTCCCTCCGGTGCCAAAGCGCACGAGTCCCCGGTCATTACAACCGCGCGGTCCCGATTACGCAGCGTTTCTGTCATTCCAGCTCCCACAACAGAGGCTAGTTAATGCCTTCAGTTGTGATTATCTAGCTATAAAACACGCAGGGAAAGTTCCGTTCACTTATCCACACTGCACTTTCCCGACACCAGCGCTTCCACCCAACAGTCTATAGCGCGAGAAATATCCGTGAGCAACGCGCTGCTGGAAACGCCCCCCACGATGGGTCCCATTAAGACCAACCCCTTATAGGGGAGAACAGGTATGTGTGGTTATCTGTGCTGTTATTTACTCTCCCATGAAAATACTTCCTGTAAACAACGATTTAAAAAAAAAACAACAACAAACAAACCCGTACACTTCGTCTCCATCAGCCCCATGGAAAGAACCACACCCTCCCGTAACTGCACCTTGCTCTTCACACACGGTGGAGGCAGACCTGTGTACCGCGCACGACCATTATCAGATGTGACCTTGTACTCGGAAAGTGTGAGAGAGGTAAAAATGAATAAAGAGTGATCTGTGAACTTTTGGTGGAGACGATGTTAAGGCTTCTGTTCATCTTCAGTTTTGCTTGGTGGCACAGTTTTTGTGATTTTCACTTGTGGGAAAGGCTGAAAAAAGAACAATTGTCATTAGACACACAGACTCTTCTGCAGTTTAACTGCGGGGAGATCCAGTTTGTACCCACTCATCTCTCTGGTGCCCGAACTCAGCATACTACAAAATTCAAATGAATGAAAAGAAATTTAACACTTTAACAATTTACAAATGTTTCTCTTCTCCACTGTGTGAAGGGCGGGACATTTGAATACCATGCATAAAAGATTTTTTTTAAATCAGACACGAGGTGAACCCATATTTGTATTTACCATGGAATATCCCATTTGAATCTTTATCAGTAGAATCTAAAGCTATTACTAAAATACTGTTAATTAATTTTGTGAAAAGCTTTAGTGCTGTCATCTGTTTTTGCAGTGAAATATATCTTTAACACTCAGTCTAGAAGCACAACTAAGTGCTTCATCCTGATCTCACAGTGACAGTGTGGAGATGTAATGTGTACAGGCAAGAGGAAACACACCCAAACGGAAACTGGCAAGGCGATAGTGCATTGTGTCTTTGTGGCAGGTTTCAAGCCTGCATCAGTCCACTGGATTAGCCAGAAAGAACAAATAGCCGACACCAAAACATTGAGCAGAGAATAAAGAAAAACAAGAGACCGAAGCATTGTGGTAACACGCCTCACAGGCACCAAATATTTGCTTTTCTGCACTTTGTGTGCATCCATGCGTGCAGTGATGCTCTAAAGTTGGGTGATGACCAGCTTCAATTCAGTTCTTTAACTTAATCTCTAGAATGTGTATATGTGTTCAGTCCCCTTAAATATTGCATTCAAGTTCTGTTTTCATTTCCCAGAAAACTCTTTTTCCTCCACTGGTTCTGAAAATGATATATTACCCTTCTTGCTGCCAAACGATTACAGCCACGGCTATTCTTGGACAAGCAATCATTTTTGTTTGTTGGTGAAATCGGTTCATTTTGAAAGCTAATCAAGGAAAACTCTGACCTCTGTGCAGTGCATCAGACTATCGAAGTCTCTAATAAGCACGGGTTTGCAAGTGTCAGATCAGGTGTTCTCTTTAAAGCAGTAACAAATCTCACTATGCATTACTTTCTGTATATATGTGAACCCAATATTTGTAAGCGATATTCTCCAATATTTGGTATTTCTAAACTTACTTTACTAAAGTAAAATGTGAGGCTCATTCACAATGATCACAGTTAAATAAACCATCTCACTGATGTAATTTGTAATGGATAGAAAGGGTCAGGACTTCATGTGTTTTGGATTTTAGATTGACTTTTGCACAGAGGCCATTTTTCAAAGCGGTATTAATTTGAAAAACTCTTGAGGTCAAGATGTTGCAATCCAGATCCAGTCTTTGTTCAGTCAATACACTGACTCAAACAGTCCCAAGAGACAAACTGGCGTGGACCACAAAAATACATTTTGCATTGATGAGAAGAGATGAGGAGGAAAATGAACTAGAAATCGACCTGACTTCTACAAGTAAAAATGACTACAAAGTTTAGATTAAACAGATTGTGGTGCTTTTTTTTATGTTCAAAACAAACATCAAATGCTGTACTGCATGAAAAATATCCTCATCTTTGCAACTACTTACACCTGACAACAGATTGTAGATCCCATCAAACATTAGGAGAATGTCTGTAAGAATGAGTGTTTTCCCAGGAGTGCTGACTGAATAAGAAAAGAACTGGGCCAAGATGAAGATGTAGCCCAGAGGCTGCATTTTGCACCCTGGATGAAGTCTCCTGGCTGAGATTCTGCTGACATTTACGTACACTGTGTAAGAGGAGACACAATCAGCATAAAGAACTAAATGCAAAAGTTAGAATATCTTGCTGCAACAGCTTAATGAATCAAGAGTGGATTTTTACCTAAAAAAAATAACGCACGATCAAACCAAATTCTAGTCTTACGGGTAGTTTTAATATGAGAATTGTTCCAATTTGAATATGAAACTAAGGCCGACAAACAAAGTCCATATACAGTGCTGTGAAAGTATTTCCACATTTCTGATCCCATTTCTTTTCCTTTTTTTTCCCTTTTTTGCAAATTTGTCACTCTGTTTCAGGTGATCAAACAAATTTGTAATATTAGACAAAGAAAACCTGATTAATCATTTCTAAAATGATTTTAAGTATTATTGGTAAAATAGCCATCCAACCCTACCTGACAGCAGTTGTGTCACCCTTGAAGAGTCTTTCACATCCCTGTGGAATAATTTTGGCTGACTCTTCTTTGCAGAATTGTTTTAATTCAACCACATTGGGGGTTTTCCAAGATGAACGGTCTGTTTAAGGTCATGGAAAAGCATCTCAATTGGATTTAAGTCCAAACTTTGAATAGGTCACTCCAAAACCTTCATTCAAACTGATGGCTGGACATTGTGTTTCAGGATTTTCTGGTAGAGATCAGAATTCATGATTTCATCAAATACAGCAAGTCTTCCAGGTCCCGAAGCAGCAAAGCTGTCCCAGACCATCACACTACACCACCATGTTTGACTGTTGGTTTGATGTTTTCTTTTATGAAATGCTGCTCTAGCATCACTGCAGATGTAATGGGGCTCAAACCTTCCAAAAAGTTCAGATTTTGTCTTGTCAGTCCACAGACCTGATCTTGGGGATCATCAAGCAGTTCTTTGGTAAATGTGAGATGAGCCTTTGCGTTCTTTTGGTCAGCAGGGGTTTTCTCCTTGAACTCTCCCATGGATGCCATTTTCCCCCAATCCGTCTTACTGTTGAATCATGAACTCTGACCTTAACGTAGACAAGTGTGGCCTGCAGTTCTTTATATGTTGTTCTGGATGATGCATGCATGGATTAATTTTGTTAGGCAGGCCACTCCTGGGAAGGTTCACCGCTGTTCTGTTTTCTCCATTTGTAGATAATAGCTCTCCCTGTGGTTCACTGAGGCCTTAGAAACTGTTTTAACCCTCTCTAGACTGATAGTTGTCAATTATTACTGACATGATGTGTTGATTTTTGAGATCTTTTAACCTACTAAACTTTGTCAAACAGGTTCTTTTTCAGTGATTTTATTGATTTAACAGCTCTGACAGTAATAAATTACTTTTTCAGGGGGGCAGGTAGTTTGGATAGCTTCTGTTCCTGTAATAAAGGACATCATCGTTTAAAACCTGCATTGTGTGCTTGCTCATCTATCTTTGTCCAGTGTTAAAATTGGTTTTATCATCTGAAACAATTAAATGTGCAAAATATGCAAAACAGAAAACTGACTTTGTGACTTTTTGAAGAAGGCAAACTTTTGTTGGAAGCTTCTTTAAAATACTGAAAGGGAAAAAAGGTTTAAATCACTGAATCCATGGTTTTTATCTAGAAGCCTGAAAGTAATAGAAGCCAAGTTTCAATTAAAGGTTAATGTAAGTTCGAGTTTTGCGTCTCTCATCTTTTATACACATTGCAGTTTCCGTCTCTTAGAAAGGGTGACTCATGTACAGTTTCATTCTCAGAAATTTGACAGCTGTCATCACCACATTTCCAGTTTTGAGATCTGGATTTATTTCTTTAAATTGTGGAAATGTATAAGATCTTATCTTCTATGCTTCACATCCCGCTCAGTCACAGTGGTGATCATCATGCTTTAGCTCACCGCAGTGTTGCCAATCTAGCAAGACTAACTGACTTGCTGTTGTTGCTCTTCCACCACAAACACAGGTCTCTGTCTGCGCTCACCACAGTGCAGCAGCACCCAGATGATTGTGTGCACGGTATGAGAGAAAAAAATAAAGTCAGTGTTGTGCTTCTACTTTCTTTCTAAGGGATCCTTCTCTATATAGAAGTCTTTGTGCCTGGCTAGCTGTAATTTGCGAGCTCAAACAACTGTCACATCTGCACATACAGAGGAGACTGCTCTGCTGGTCTCACACCATCCTCACCCCCTCCTCTCCAGCCTAAACCTGTCATGTGCCACTATGGAAAAGCCAACAACCTTTGACATCAAAACAAACAGTGACTCTGTCATAGTTCCACACGCACATCCATAATGCAGGGAAACGTTTGGCTGAGCCACAGTTTTGTTGATGTTCTCCTGTTTTCTTCTCCAACACACCTCGACGTTTAGGAAAGCAGAAACCTCACAGTCACCTCTCACCCAGCTGCTGTAATGGCAACCATATGCAGAGCTCATGTTTACGCTGGCTTTAACTTCTTCAAACACTGACATGTACTTATGTGGTGATGCAGTAGATGTCCTCGTCCTGAACCCGGACTGTGACGTAAGCCTTTCCCTGACTGAATTATATCCATGATCTAACAAACATATCCTCTTCCTCTGGTGAATATTTTGAAGGGTTGCAGTCTCCGGAGAATGTTGGACACACAGAAACAAATGTCTCCATTTGCTTTGATAACATCATTAAATTTGATATAAAATGTAGAGAACACACATTATTCTCCACATCTACCACAGAGTAAGAGAGATAAAAAATGAGGTAACTGCGAATGTTTTCTAAAGTCACTGCCTGTGACTTTCAGCCACAGTGTAGTTTTACTAACCTCTTGCACATGTCAGTGCATGACCACTTCCTCTCAGACGGCCTTCCTGTCCCATTTAAATTTCCGTTGACATTAAAACGTAAATTTTAAACA